AAAAAAAAAAAAAAAAAAAAACGCACTGTGTAGGCCTAATAACCTATTTGCATAATTTTGGCTTGACCCATTATATCCCCTGTTTTACACTAGGCTATAGGACCTACCTCCCTGCAGTATTAAAATAATAATAATAATAAAAATAATAATAATAATAATAATAATTTTTTTAAATAAAAAACAGTGGCTAAATGTAATAGGGCCTATAAAAAAGACGTTATCAGTGCTCAGTGCTATAAAAATCAGGGTGACGGACAGCGTATGATGGGTAGCGCCTAAATATAGCCTATAGGTCCTAAATGGAAATCATCATCAGTGCTCTAACTCCATCCTCGGGGTAATGGAGGCATTAATTTTATAAATGGTGTAAATATATAGATGTTTATTATGGTTATGTTCGCCCAGTAAGCTCAAGCCGTATTTTTGTTTTATTCATATTTGCAGAATGACTTATGAATGATAATATTATGGCAGGTTCCTTTCCAAAATCTATTTTTTATTATTTAGGCCTTTTTTAATTATTTTCTTCTTTTTTTATAAGATTTAGAATATTTTTATGTATTTATATTTGTGTGCTTTGCTGTCTAGTATCTTAATTTTTTTCTTAGTTGCAGTCCAGTAAATATTAAATATCCACTACCAGTAATGTGCTGGGCCTATTTTGATCTATGTTGTGCTCTAGCCCTATATAATGTTCATAACTATAGGATGCGTATCCGGGATTCTGAGGCCAAAACTGCCTTTTCTAAACATTTCTAATACATTTATAGGTAAATGGAAGACAACTTCTTACCCGACAAACCCGCCCGCCTCCAAATGATTTCTTATCCAACCAACAGCAGACGACGCCAAGTATCAAGCAACCTCCCGCTCAAGAGATGGCGTATCAAGATGGGCTGCATCCGAAGCAGACCATCGCCCTGATTATTCTAGGCCTCCTTCATATTTTCATCGGAGTTGCTGTGATAATTTTACACATTTGTATGATAGCTGAGGTTACTGCGTGGGCAGTTTTGATGAAAAACCGTTTGGTGACCGTGCACTCGCCCTTATGGTGTGGATCGTGGGTAAGTAGGGTCAGGGGGTGGGGGGGAGGAGAGATTGTGCGTCTCGTTCGTCAGAAGACTCATTAAATATGAATTTAATTGAAAAAAGTTTTACAACAGAGATGATGAAAAATCTCTGCTGTCATGTTTTATGTGTGACTTCTACCCCTACCTTATTCAACATATTAAAAAAGCAGAATGTTTACGTGAAAAATGTTTTACAACAGTGCTGTTTGAAACTTCCTCTGTAGCCTATTCTAACCGAAATATACCAAATTTAAAACATTTAATTAGATTAATAATATTTATAATAATAATTATGACGAACTTCACATTGAAATTTGAGGTCCATGAACTTTATTCGGGTTAGACATGATTTAATAAATTTTTGTTTTGATCATGATACAGGGCTTTTGAACAATGTATAGCAACGATGAAGCATCGTGGAAAACTTTATCAGTGGACTCCAAGCACTTTATGCAAACTGTTACCCCACCCCTCTGTGTTCCATACGTGGAGTGGCTCAAACAGTAAAAATATGTTTGTGGGTGTGAATGCGTCTACGTGCGCTCCTAAACCCTTACGGATATTCTTCACCTCCACCATTTTGTTTTCATTGAGATTGTTAATTGGGTCTCATGATAATTGATAATTTGACCTTTGCCGTCATATATGTTGAATTAGATATCTGTTTAATCTGTTAAATCTAAGGGCTTTATGTATCTAATTACAGTTCATTCTTGTGGGGTCGTTTGGGATTTCTACGGCACCGTGTTGTCAGCCGGATCCCGTGGCAACTAAAGCCTGTATGGTGAGATAGTTATAAATAAAGAAATAAATAAATGTTTTTGTCAAGGCAAGTGGATAAGTATTAAAAGGTTTACTTTCCCTTACGTAGTTTTGTGCTAATTCTATATCTGTATGCACTATTAAAGCAGGATGATACGTACCATACCTGGAAATTTCAACAATTTTTTCCTGGCTCATCAAGATATTTGCAATCCAAAATCGTAGAACAAATAATATTCTGAAAAGTTGTATTCGCGCGAGCTGTTAATATTTGATTAAACGATACAAAAATTATTCATCTTAATTCACCGATTGGCTCAAAATTAGATACTAACAAATCAAAAGCGAATTAAGTTTTGGTCAATTGTTTTGTTGACGTTTTTGAATAAAGAGTATCTTGATGATAACGTGAAAATGTTGAAATTTGTCAGCTGTATAAATGTCTTGCGCTCATAGTGAGGTTTTAATATGAAGATTTTCTGTGGTTGTAGAAGCACTTGTTCCTAGTTCTCTCCGCAGTGACCACTGCATTTGCTCTAATACTTGCTGGCGTCAACTTTGCAGCAGCAGGAACTATGGACGTGAGTGCGAAAAGATTATGAAAGTACAATGTTTTGATTCACGTCATTATGATCGAACCCATTCAGATAGACACATGGTACTTATTGGGTCGGTCCAACTCTGAGGAAAAATCTTGCTAATTGCAATCAATGAAATTAGCTTATTTGGAGATGGATCAATCTACGTAGACCGATAATTTCAATGGGAATGGCACCTGAAACCAATGTGGAGACCTCGTGCGGGTTGTTAAAATTCGTTCATATCATACGATTTCTAATTTCCATTTTTTCTATTTATTTATTAACGGTAACAAAAAGTTTAAATGTGTTTGGATAAATGTCTTTAATTTTTTTGTCTTTTAATCATGATCAATAGGAAATGGTGATCGACTACCAAATAACAACCGCTCTTCCTCCTGTTACCAACTTTTTGATTTCTCTCTCTTCAGCCAACCAAAGGTTCGCTGCAGTTAGGTCTGAGCGTGACGATTGGCGCACTTGGCATCGTGGAAGTTATCATTTGTATCATCTCTACCCTCTGGGCCAGACCAAAAACAAGACCAGGTGGCACAGGTGTAATTCCTGGGGGGTATGTTCAGTGCCAGGAACAGCCCAGAGCCTACGTCACGCCAGCGCAATTGCAGGTTGGCTATTTAATCTTATTTTTATAATAATTTATGCCAACGGTATCCTATCCGATATTTTTTGAGCCAAATAGAATTTGAAAAAGTTATTTTATATCCCAATCAGGAATCTCTGCTCGACCGTCCCTGCACTTCGATTTGATGTTTTACACAATTTTTAAATTTATTTTCAAATTTATTATTCTGGACCTTAGTGTCTTAATGAACATTTCAGTAGGACATTTCGACATCGGTTTGCCCTAAATTGGGGGATGTATCGTTTTTAAGTTCTCAATTGGCAAAGATGGATACCTTGGACCTATCATGTAGGCCTATAGTGTATTCAAGTGCAGAAATAGAAAATATGACTTTCGAACATTTTCAAATTTTCATATACCTTACATTGACAAATAACTTATGTAATTTAACCGTTTTTTTTCATGGATTTTCTTTAGTTTACAATAATTAACTGAAGCGCTGATTTGGTGTCACACTTGGTTCAAGAGAACAATAGAAACTTTCATCTATTATATAGGCCTATTACCAGCACGACTCTGCCGTTTCCTACTAGTAGATGTAGGGTAAGCCAACTGACAGAGGTAGAGGAAAGCTGGTAGTAGAAAGGACAGTTGATTAGAAGAATTTGCTAATTCGTTGGCCCATTTTGCCAACGAGACTTTGAGTGTGATTTGGAAGTGGTGTCAATGGGGATCTCTGAAACTCATGAAATAGGGCATTGGCGTAACAGGGATTATTATTATTATTATTATTATTTACAACTCAATTCTCCCCCTGCCTCTCTGCACTCTCATATAAATTATTGAACACCCTAGATTTCCCCCGAGCAGCAAAGAACATTTGTAACCGTCACCCCGGCAACCACGCCTCGTGCAGAGCCAAGACAAGACCATCCCAATTTTAGACATCATCAGAGGCAGAAACATCAGAAACCACAACAACAGCATCACCATCATCATCAACTTCATCACCACCAGCAGCAAGAATTGCAGCAACATCATCAACAACAACAACACTTGCAGCAGCAACAGCAGCAGTTCCAGGACCAACAGGTCAGTTATATATTTTAATCAGATTGTTCATTGTTCCAAGATCTTGTACATGTAATTAGTTATGTTTTAGGAATGATAATTTTTACTTTGGAACAGTTAAATAAATAAATAAAATAAAATAAAATAATAGACAAAATCAATAAATAAAAACTAAGTAATGAAGAAAAAGCATATAGCACACATGATATATTTTTCCTCTAAACGTTTTAAAAGACCAAATTGCAGTTCTTCAGAAGTTCTTTTGGAATTCTTTGCATACATTTCGGGATTTATCTGTTTATCTCTTACTCTCTTTATTTCTCTCTCTAAAATATTTTTCTATTGTTTCCAGCATATGACGGTGATCAGCCCAGATAACCTCTACCCTGGCGTCTATACCCCGCAAACACCTGCTAAATACCAAGTGTACACATTCCCAAGGGTGAATGTGGCGCCATCTAGACCTCTGCCTGGAATGTGGATGGAGAGCTAAATCAGGGCCTGCTTTCACAAAATGACTGAGGTGGAATATTATGCATGGCAGAGGCTGCTTAGACTATTAGTTATAGCAAGATTTCTGGAAGTAGTTTTAACTTAAAAGACTTATAAGCAGCATTTTGCTAAGAATCTAAGAAGCTGTTTACCTCATTTTTAAGACTGAGCACTGAGAGCGTGTCAAAAACGTGTTCCAATTTCAGCTGAAATTATTATTTACCAACAATTCATAAAGAACTCATAGACAAGTTTAATTGCAGAGTATCACTCTCATGGACAAGTGTTTTCAAAGTTGATATTAAGTGATCAGCTATTTGAAAACTTCACTTTTGTATTTTTTTTTTTTTTTTTTGTAAAACAGCACCTTGAACCAAATTAAAAAGAAACAAGAAACATCATGCTTTCACTTTGAAAGACAATAATTATTGTTATTCATTGAACATTGCACACTTTTAGGCAATTATTTTACAGGCTTGGAGGTTTGAAACCCACCAACTGCTATATTTACTGTCATCACTTAGTGAATCTATACAAACTTGATTAACATATTTCTCAAAGCAACCTTTTTCTCTGAAAAGTAATTTTTTTACAAGGAACAAAAATAAAATTAAAAAAATTAATGAAATGTGTAAATTGTGTATGTAATTACAGCTAGTTAGTTATTTAGTCTAAAAAACAGTGCATACATGTAGATCATAAACCTGACAACTGTTTTAGTTAACCTTGGTGACCATAATAAGACACTATTCAACAATACCACATGAATCTTTTAAATTGAACCTATATGTATATGACTAGGGGTAAATCACAATTTGGAAAAGTTATGACATAATTATAACATTGACAATAAAAGGAATGTTCTCTTGTAGAGTCAAAACTTAGTGACATATAGAACTTCAAGTTAAGAATATCTTCACTCTGAGTGTGTGCTAAAGGTTCCTGGCAATGAAAAGAGGAACCTTAAAAAATAATAATAATAATAAAAATCAACATGAAAAGGTCCATCGAGGAGCCTGTGTATAGACACATATTAGGGCAACCCTTTTGCTTGATATGATGAAAGTCTGATTAACTAAAGGATCAGAGAGACCTAGCCACCACCTGCGTGCGTACCACCAGCTGGGTTCAGTGCATCATGGGGATATACCACTAAGAAGGTGCTCCAACTAAACTAAATCTGCCACTGGGCAGGGCAAGGGTGTTGCCAAGAAGGGTCTACCCCACTTAAGTGTAAACACACCTTAAATGTTCATAATTTTGTGCAAGATTAATAACATGCGAAGGAAAATTCATAATATGGTACATCGCTTTGCGTATAATTATTTGTACATTTCATATTATATTACACAGATATTTATGAATAAATTAAATACATGTGAACATTAATCTAGTAAACATGATTTTTTAAAAATTGATTCATGATACAAGATCAACAAGAAACAAAAAATTGCACGGCCTGTCTTGTCATGCAGACAGGGAGCACAGCACAATGTCTTC